AGGTTGGAGTGGGTGCCTCGTGAATTGCCTTAACCTTGGACTCCAGGGGGTGAATGCCTGAGGCGTCAATTTTATAACCCAGAAAGTCCACCTGTCTAGTGGCAATGGCACATTTTTCTTTTTTTAATTTGAGGCCATGCTGTCTGAACCTCTCTAACACTGCTCGAACTCTCTGGAAGAGTTGGGGTCTGTCCCTGGCCGAGACTAAGATGTCGTCGAAGTAGGGTACTACACCAGGGAGGCCCTGCAAAATCCGCTCCATGAGGGATTGAAAAATACCTGGGGCAACACTTACGCCAAATTGGAGACGCTTGCATCGGAAAGCACCCCTGTGAGTGACAATGGTCTGGAGTTCCGCTGTTTGGTTGTCAACAGGGAACTGTTGATACGCTTGAGACATGTCCAATTTGGCAAAAATGCTGCCGGGTTCAAAAGTGTGTAATAAATGCTGAATGACGGGCACTGGGTAAGCGCTGACTTGTAGAAACTTATTGATTGTGGTCTTGTAGTCCGAGCAAATTCTCAGGCTACCATCTTTTTTGAGGGGTGTGACAATGGGCGTCTCCCATTTGGCGAAATCTGTTGGCTCAATGACCCCTTGTTTTAATAATTTATCCAGTTCCGCATCTAATTTAGGCCGAATAGCAAATGGGACTCTACGAGGTTTTAGCCTGATTGGGACTGCTTGGGGGTCGACTGAGAATGAGATAGGGGTACCGTTATAACACCCCAGTTCATTGCTGAATACGTCTGAGTAGTCAGCGAATAAGGAGTCAGTGTCTGAGGTTGAGACAGCATGGACTCCTGTTAACCCTAGGCCGAGATGGGGGAACCAATCAAGCCCCAAGAGTGTGGGTAGGTTGCCGTTAACTACCACTAGAGGTAGGTGGCCTTTGAAAGTTTTAAAATTGACAAGAAACTTGCCTCTGCCGATTACAGGAATGTCCTTCCCCTGGTAGTCCTTCAGGCTAAACTGGCACTTCTGGAGCCGGGTTCTGGATAGATTGGGCTGTAGTCTCTTGATGGTGCTCCAAGAGATAATTGAGAGCGCTGACCCCGTGTCAACCTCCATGCGACAAGGTCTACCTTCTAACAAAACGGAGAGAGAAATTTTACTAATGGCATGGCAAGCGTGCTTAGCATGGTGGTGAGTGCGACAGTTCAATACTTGCCTTTGGGGTCCCGAATGTGAAAAGGAGGGGTGCCTTTGTGCCGAGTTGTGAGCGGCCTGGCAGACTCTAGCGATGTGCCCCTTTTTGTGGCAAATGTTGCAAGTGGCTCCCTTGAATTTGCAGGTGGTCCTCAGGTGAGATCCACCACATGATAGGCACAGGGTGATGTGCTTGGGTGGACTGACGCTTTCTTGCTTGGCTCCTACCTGCGGGGGTCTGGCGTGGGCTAGGCGGTGGATGTCGGCTGCATCGCTGGGGTCCTCTTCGATGACCACCTCTTCAGAGTGGACTGAAACTGCACTTTGCTTGGAAGCAGGACCTTGGATTTCGGTGGCTGAGTGTGCTGCCAGCTCTGCTGCCAGGGCTTCCTCGATGGCTTGCGCGAGGTTGAGATCCTTCTTAGCGAGTAGGCGCCTTTGGAGGTGAAGGTCCTTGACTCCACAGACTAGCTGGTCGAGGAGCATGTCCTCCAGGTAGGTCCCAAACCCACAATGGAGAGCTGCAGTTCTGAGGGCAGCCATGTACTGGTTGATGGTCTCTTTGTCTGATTGCTTCCTCATTCGGAAAGTGAACCGCCTGGCAATCTGTGAGGGTCTAGGAGAATAGTGGTTAGTAAGGATTTCTAACAGTTCTGTCCAGGGAACGTTTTTTAACTCACGTGGAGCCACGAGTGCTGTGGCAGTATCAAAGACGATGGCTCCACAGTAGATCAGGAAATATGATTTTTTCCGGTGCTCCCCTGCATCAGCCAACCCAATTGCGTCGATGTAATGGTTAAAGCGATTCTTGTATGACTCCCACTTCTCCTCATCCGGCTTGAATGCTGGGAAAACCGGGTTGGAGTTCATGATGAAAAAAAAATCAGGTTGGAATAATATGTTGAGAAAATCTCTCTGGGGCAGCAGCAGGAAGGTTTTTGTGCCTGTGGCAGGCAAGTGACTTCAGCTCTGGAGAGGCTTTTCACAACTCTCTCTCTCTCTCTGGGTTAACACGAGGTTAGGCTGCAACGGTCGTTGGCAGCGTTTTGAAATTCGCGCCTGCGTGGGCGTCAGTGACTTTGTAATACAGCACCGCGCTGTACTTCTAGGGCGGAATTCAAATGACAGCCGTTTGAATTTCGCGCCTAAAGAAACGAGCGGCTGCGGCTCGCAGCGCTTCACTTTCCCTGTAGCTTGGCTAACAAGCGGCTACAGACGCTTCTCACTCTCGCTGCTTGCTGACCGCTCTCTCTGGCTGCGGATCAGCGTTCGCTCTCGTTTGCCTGCTGATCGTTCTCTCTAGCTGCGGATCAGCATTTGCTCTTATTGCCTGCTGATCGTTCTCTCTGGCTGCGGATCAGCGGCTAGTGATTCAGCAGTTGCATTGTGCCTCTGGTCGCCATCCCATCCTCGTCGCCAGTGTTATGTTCGGGAAATGAGAGGCTGAACCAGGGCATGGATGCAACAAATACTTTATTAGAATAATAAAGGACTGACCATGCTTGCCAAGCCTGGAACTGGCTCGCAGCGATCAGCAACTGGTTGGACCCCGCAGCCTGCTTTTATAGCTGGCTGCTGGGGAGAACCAACCAATGGGAGAGAGGGCAACCGCCCCCGTATCACGAACGGACCTGGGTGGGAACTTCTTTAAGTTCCAGGGACATAACATGCACGATATTCTAATTTTTCAAGTTTCACCTGTATTAACCAAAATGGGATTTTATACTTATTCATTTTATATTTTTTACACATCTTATGCATGTGCAAAATGGCAAATACATATTTCCATGTATAAAATGATGAATGGGGTTTGACAAATGTTCAGAAACATGCAGTGTATGTACAGATCTGGTTCAGTTCTTTCAAAATCCACAAAACCAAGGCCTGTTAAATTAAATTTTACTGTATGGTTCGAATTTTTAAAGTTTTTTTTTAAAAAAAAACAGTTCCAACAAAGATCATTAATGTTCTGTATAAAATCTAAGATTCTCCTTTCCTCTGAAGTTTGAATATTTTCTGTCAAGCTTGTTCCTTTAAAATATATAGTCTTTTGACTATTCACCTCTTGCCCTTGGCTCGTATTTGATCTGGTGTCTAATTGCCAGTCTGTCAGTGCTTATGTCTATTGTCCCTAGCCATTTGACCCCCATTTTCCTTTTCCAAAATGTCAGGGCTGAAACTGGCAAAGCATGAAAAGCAAGGTGACTTTGATCAGATAAGGCTCTTTTATAAGCCTGTGCAACTGTCCTTCATGCTCCAGAGCAACCAAATGTCTATGAAAGAGACCTAAAAGTTAGACTTGAAAACTGCTCTGTATGTGTGTGTGTGTGTACAAGGACCAGAAGACAGTGGTGGTGATAGGTTATCAGGGAATTGCACAGCTGGTGCCCAGATGGAATCAGAGATGCTAACACAAATTTCTTGTTTTATATAAATAAATATATTTTACATTTATATTTACAGCAAACAAGATAGTCAGGCACATCACTACATCATGAGGTAAATCATCAGGTAAATCACAGAACAGCATACAGAACACACAGAAGAAAAAGGCGGGAAAAAAGGAAAACTCTTCCTTTGCCAATCATAATATAGATTGCTTCAGGCAGAAGCCAGCTCTCTCCAACCAATCAACCACAACTGGCCCATTATTCACCTTACTGTTCCAGAAGAGTGCAAATTAAATATCTTAACATAGATGTAGCAGTGCGAAGTGACAGCAACATCAGGAAGGAGCATGAGAAGCTGGAGAAGTACCAGGGCTTGAAGCAGGAACTGGAGAGGATGTGCAAAGCAAAGGAGCACTTGGGGCTGTGTCTCCTAAGCTAGGAGAGTGGCTCCAACAGATCCCAGGAATGACATCAGAGCTGTCTGTCCAGAAGAGTGCAATTGTACAAACACCTAAGATCCTACACAGAACCCTCACACTCTGGGCCTTTGGTACAGTATGCAAGTTTGAAGAAGATGCAGACCATCCATAAAGATGAGAAGGGATTTATATATATATATATATATATATGTGTGTGTGTGTGTGTGTGTTCCATAATGCTTGATCTGATTTCAATAGCTATAAGAACTTCAACTTTAAAATCAACTTTATTTATGCAATGTGGCAGAGTTTTCAAAGGTTCTGTTCTTTGCTAATTAAGAAGTGTGTGTGTTTTTGTGTCAAGTATCTGAAGAGGTATGAATCAAGCCATGCCTGCATGAAGCCCACTCCTACTCTTAAACACTCCTGGAGGAGACCACATGCTCCAGGATAATGATGGTTACCAATTCTCTTGCAACTTCATGATTCAGTACCAGAGTCAGGTGGCAGCCTGGATGAATCAATTAACCCAGACAATGAGTCAGCCAGCCCAGCATGTGGAGCATGATAAATGACTCCTCCAGTCTAGGATTCAGCAGCCAAAACAGCAGCAGGAGTAGCAGCTCTTCAGCATCAAACTCTTTTCTCCCTGCCTGTCAAAGATAAGAATCTTGCTGCTTTTTTAAACTGCCTTCTTGGAAAGAGGCTTATTAAAGAATGTCCAGTGCAAAGAAAGGGAACAGGGAAAAATGTGGTCTTCATACTAGAATGTCAAGGTAGCTGGGGAAGAAAAAGAGAGATGTTAGTCGTGCACTTTGGATGTCAGGGTGGCAGATTTTCAAGAAATTGTGGGAAAACATATCATGACTTGAAATCATAAGATCATACTTTTGAACGCCAACTCGCCTTGGCTTCTATCTGAATGATAATGTGACTTGATTTCTTGGTGTCTACTGAAAATGAATTAAGAGATGCTCTTGAATTGCCTTAAAGGTCTTTTAAAGGATTGGGTCTGGATTTGTATTTTTTGGTTCTAGTAATAGTAAATAGTAAATAGTAGAACAGGCAACAGAATTGTGCAATTCAATAGCCCAGGGACAATCCCCTAACTCTGGAAAGTGTTGTGTCTATACTGGACCTTTAACTAACCAAAATGTACATCACAGATAAGCGCTTAGAAGGAATCTGTGTACTTTAATAGTGAGATAATAGTGAAGGCAATGAAAATAGATTAGCCTCAATAATATGTCTTTGTACAGATGGAGCAATAATAAAGTACATTTAATTTATTTTCAGAATTGTGGTCATTCACTCTTGTAAATGTATTTGAAAATTGAATATGTATGTTCCATGCACCAGATGATTATATAACTGGCTGTAATAATACAATAATTTAACAACATTTCTTTAATTACAAAGGGGAAAAATACCTTCAACTGAAGTAAGCATTTCATTTTAACTAGATTGTGGATCAAATGCTGTACATAATATGATTTATCTTGAATATTTAAAAAGCACATTCAAATTAAGCTCATTTGTAGTTACAATTTTTATTTTTGTATTACTATGTTTAATTTAAGCTACTACTTCCCTCAATTTTCTTAAGGACTAAAACCCTCAAAATTCTCAACAAATATTCCTTCCTTCCTTCCTTCCTTCCTTCCCTCTGATATTGCAAATCATGAATAATAAAATAATAGTTTCAATAACATTAACATAATTTAAAACACAAATAAAATGTTAGAAATCAAGCATTAAACCATATGTGGTTAAGTCAAAAGAAACCATTTCTGAATAGCTGAATAAGGCAAAATGAAGAAGGTGAAGATGTCTGTCCACAGCTTGAACAAAACTTTACAGAAAGACTGCCTTAAAAAAACAAGTCACAGACAGAATTTTCTTCCCAAGTAGTGAAATTGATCAAGTCAGGCATTTTATTCTTTCCAAATCAATGTGATGTTCAGCACTTGGTCCGTCTGTCAGTAGGATAATTCTCTGGAAACTGAACTCAGTAGGACCAAATTTGGTATGGCAAACAAAGGTGGCAAAAGAAAGATCACGTTAAAAAAATGAGCTGGGGAACCAGAGGTGCAGTAGAACTAGACTGAATCTATTTATAAATGGAAGAACAGTAACAAATACTCATTTTTTTGGAGAGCAACCATCCAGTCAGGAGGAAGGCTTTAATAGGAAATTAGTCTCTACATAAACACAAGAGGGCAAAGTTTGACACTCCCCCTCCCCTCAATATTTTATCTGCTATTTTCCAGGTGAGATATGCCAATTTGGGGAGATACCTATACCATAGGCATAGAACAATAAAGTAGCTAGTTTGAACACTACACATGTGGATCTGGTTGTTTGTGCCTAATTTTTTTTCTAGTTTTATTTATGTACTGTAATATAGTTTCATTCTAATTAAGTAATTAAGGAAGTAAACATGGGCATATATATTGGCAAGGCAGGATGAATATTTAAATATTACTGAAATCAGAGGAGTAAGCATAATTAACCCTTTGCTGAATTATGGATAATATGTGCACTATCTAAAGGCCATGAAATGCAAGCAGAAAACATTTTGAGATATAAAGGCAACACAGTTCTTATAATGGTCTCATTTTTAATGAACATAATAAGGCTGTGTCAGAGTTAATGAGCACATTAACAGAATACAGGGAAATATATCCCCCTTTTTAATAAAAATATAAACATAGCTAATTAAAAGTAGTCTTTCTGCTGTTTATAATAAATAATAGAAAACCCTTTGGATAATGAGTTTGCTTGGGTTTGGATAATGCATTGCTTGAAGACATTTTTAAAAATTGAATAATCATATAATTC